GTAGAAGGAAAAATGCAGAGAGCAGAGCCACAGGGATGGCTAACAGCCTTTTAGGCCAGAGGGAAGCAGGAGTATCCCACAGGAGCAGGGCACCAGGGTAGCACCATACACATCCTATTTAGATCCCAAATTGCATCACATCTCTGCCTCAAGATGTGCCTCTCTATGTTCCTTATGACAAAAGCCACAGTCCTCCAATGGCCTCCCTGGTACCACTCCCTGTCTTTCCCCATCTCCTACTGTATCCTGGTTTGTCCCAGCGACACTAATTTCCAGGCTGCACCCTGAACTATCCAGGGACCCACACTTCAGACTCTTCATTCTAGCTATTCCTTGCTTGGGATGATCTTCTCCCAGGTGCCACATGGGTGACATGTTTATTTGTGTGTATTTGTTCAGCTGTTGCCATCCTGGTGAAGAGTTCAACTTGTCCCCATTCTCCTTTCCTGGTACTCTTGACTCCCCTCTTCTCATGTTCAATTTCTTCTCTTATCACTTTCCAATACATTGTGTCATTGACTTGCTGGAGTGCTCCCCAGACTCTTCCCCTCTAGAAACCAGCTTCTACCAGACAAGAGATCTTTGTCTTTGTTCAAGGCTGTATCTCACCGCCATGGCAATTCCAAGTCACTCAGGGAGGAGCTCGTCCTTGCTTGTTGAAGATTCCATTAGAGGCACATTGTCTCTGTTCCACACACAACATCTCACTTTCCATCAGCATATGGCCTTCAGTGTTATTTTTCACCCTGTTCCTGTACTGCACCTTCTATGTATAAACCCTTCCTTCCATTTGCTTGGAACTCAGTGCTATGTGCCAGAAGCATTCCTTCGGTGTTTGGGGATCTTGGCTATAATACTCAAGATAGCCCAATTGGAAACTCTGTTCATGAGCTTTGTGGATGGTGGACGTCGATGCAGTGGCTGGGGACTAGCCATTTGTGAGGGATTCTGGAATGTAAATATGGCAAAGAGCTTTTCTCTTTGCTACTAGGTTTCTCTGAGTGAGGGAGAGAGAGAGAGAGAGAGAGAGAGAGAGAGAGAGAGAGAGAGAGAGAGAGAGAGAGAGAGAGAGAAGGTGCGTGCCTCTTTCTTCACTATCTATTCTTTCGTTTACTATCTTTGGATTCAGTATTGTGTCTTTTCCCCGAGACTGGTGTCCTCAAGCCCAGGACTTGTCTGAGTCACCTTTAGAATTGTCTTCAGAGAGTAAACTTGGTGCCATCTATGAGAATGAGATTGAGGGAGTCACCAGCTTTTTGGTGTCTGGAAGTAGCCCTGGTGGTCCTTTCTTTACATAACTTTTTTACTAGTCTCTTTCTTCAGGTGTCTCCTTCATCCTTCTATGCAGAAGCCATCTGGTCCTTCTCATAGCTCTGGGAGATGCACTGACAGCTTTTGTTGTCTGCAGACTCTTTGATTTCTCCACCTTCTTGGGGGAGTTACTACCTGTTCACTTCCAAAGGCTGCTCCTGTCTCTTGTCTGCTGTCATGTGCACTATGGATCTGCTTGTCCTTGTGGCTTTATTTGAGGTTCATAACCACCCTGTTATTTCAGGGGTATGGAGAGTAGATATAAACAGAATCTCCACCTGTAGTCAGGGTTTCACAGCACCATCTGGAATCTGCATTCCTTTGGTTCACATGTCCTCAGCAGTCAGGCATTTCAAAGCAACATCTGGAACCCATTACAGGTCAATTATGAACCTTTGCTTCAGTTTCAGAAGAAGCCGGCCTTCCTCACGTGTTGTTTTTATTTTTATTCTAGTTGTCATGGGCACTGAGTCTTTTTGTCTTATGGTTAGTATAAACCACTACCTCAGACCTTTCTAGTGCTCTCTAAAGTGGGTATTCTCCTGGTTTCCATATCTATAATTCTTCAAAATGTAGCATCCTAGGTCATCCATGCTTAGGGACAATTTTTAGAGGGTCTTTCTTCATTTCTATACTCAAATGCCCATCTAATTACTTTGACAGGTTTTATCTTTTAAAGAATGGTAGTGGTCAAGAGAGCATATTTAAGAACAAGGTTGAACTTTGAGCAAACTGTAAAACACATATAATTTAATCACTGATACTCATATACTCTGCCCAATTTAGAATATGACAGTTGTATCCAATTTGGCCTCTTCTATGAAGTATTTAGAAAGGATTTTGTAAAAAGATTTATTTATTATAGTGTTCTGCCTGCATGTATGCCTATAGGCCAGAAGAGGGCGCAAGATCCCATTACAGATGGTTGTAAGCCACCATGTGGTTGTTGAGAATTGAATGTAGGACCTCTGGAAGAGCAGCCAGTGCTTGTAACCACTGAGCCATCTCTCCAGCTATAGAAAGGATTTTTAAAATTAATTTTTTTGGTTAGCACAGGAGAAGGTAGGGTTCACAGTGGTATTTTCATCCACATACAGAATTATATTTTGTTCTTGTTCTTCCTCCACTGCCCTCTCCTAGCTCCTTCACTGATTCCTTCATTCCCTCAATAGACCTCTCTTCTGCTTTCATGTCACATCTTATTGTTTGCCCAGGAGTTACTTTAAAGCGAGGCTCAAAGACAGAAAAATTCATCTTTTCCTAAAATATCTCTCTGAGGAACAAAATTAATAAAGACCCGGTGTGCTATTTTAAAACATTTTTTTAAATCAAAATGTCAGGTTAGTATGTATCAAGAAGATAAAATCTAGTGAGTATAATTTGTGCTTTCAGTATAATTCCTGAAACAATGCTCCTCAGTATTTATATAAACTAATAATATTCCAAGATGACCGATGGGAAAAATCTAAAAAGCAATGAGCTAATTAAATCTTCAATCAATAAACAAATGTAAAATGATTTTTAAAAAGGAGACACGGAGAAGCACATGTAAATGCTATCATTGTAAGATGTCCTCATGAGCCAAACTATTGTCTCGATGGAGTGGGGTGGGGTGGGAAGATTTGTCTGGTAGAACATAATTTAGAAATGATTGGGCTGGAGAGATGGCTCCTGGGTTAGGAGCACTGGCTACTCTTCCAGAGGACCTGGGTTCAATTCCCAGTACCCACATGGCAGATCACAGCTGTCTGTAACTCCAGTTCTAGGCGGTCTGATACCCTCATACAGACACACATGCAGGCAAAACACCAATGCATGTGAAATAAGAAGAAGTAAGTTTTAAAAAAAAGAAATGATCATTCTGGGCTGGAGAGATGGTTCAGTAAGCAAAGTGCTTGATACTCAAGCATGAGGAACCAAGTTTGAATTCCTGAAACCCACACAAAGCCAGACGCAGAAGCACAGACATCTATAATCCCAGTGCTCCTGCAGAGATGGAAGGCAGAGACAGGGGAATCCTGGTCCCTTGAAGGTCAGCTAGTCTGGTACACAGCAGAAAAAAAACAAACAAAAACCAAGAGACCCTGTTTCAAACAAGGTGAAAGGCAAAGATTGACAGTTGAAGTTCATGACTTCCACACATGGTATGGTATGTGTGCACCAACACACACACACACACACACACACACACACACACACACACACACACACACACACTCCATCCTTGAGTTGCTGTAACAGAGTCTGGAACACTATCTGAGGAGGCAGGAACCGTTGTTTTGAACGTGTATATTTGCCCAGATCTCTTAGCTGACACTCGTGTGCAGGCTACTGTTGCTCATAAGTGACTCCAGCATGGCATTGACAGGATCTGACAATCTCATTGCAGTTCTAACTCAGGAAGTACCGATCTTTTAGTCAATTACACTAAGGGTACATCTCAACATTAGCCCTATCAAAACCTAAAGTGCAGCTATTTTGCAGACAAAAACCAAAATTGCTTCAGTTAACAGGCTTAGTAATTCTGAGGGACTGATATTAGGACTCAGTTTTGCTCAAAATGAAACACTCTGTGGAGCTGTATTGAAGTAACTGCTTGCTTTTGTTTGGCTTCTTGAAAGCAAAGACACAAAATTGATAGTTCACCTTTACAGTCTTTCAGGTCAAGACACCTGTACATTGCTTTTTGACAGAGAACTATAGTGTTTTGGTCAAGTCTTATGAGTTTGAGATGATCCAAAGCAGTATCCTGGAATGTTTCAACTTTGTCTCCTCAAGAAAAAAATTACCTACTACATCTTTGAGTCAGACGCTTACAAATTTTTCAGTTTTGAGTGGTTCCCTGGATAATCAAAAACCAAGAACCCAGAACCAGCCAAAGGCACATCTTTCTTTTGTAGAATTCCCATAGTGAATTCTGAAACAGGCATTTTGCAATGTTCCTTTAAGAGGGGGTTTAACATTAATTAAGTTTGGAAGCCGGACACAAACTCCTTTTTTGGGAATTTAAAACACACATTAGCATATTAGATACCTTGAGATGTTCTAGATTCATAAGTCTCTCATATACATTATATAACATTTATATTTTTAACACATACTCGACTACCGACATTTCTGTATATATAGACATCTCATTTTGAACACAATCAGGATGTGCCTCTCTAAAACATATTTTGGCACAGGGAAAGAAACCAAGAAAAGCAAATTCAGGGAGGTCCTCCACCACCTGCCTGAAAGTAGGTCATAAGTTTCTCCAGTGGGAAAGGGACCCTCCTTCTACCAGGAAGACAAGAATACTCAGCTCATCAGGGAAGGCCCTATGCTCAGAAGCATTTGCATCAGGGCTGAAAGGCCCATCTTCCATCCTCTCCCTCCTCTAGTTCTTGATTCCTTACTGCCTGCCCAGTCTACAAAACCCCATGCCCCCTTTCTCTTGTCTAGTGCACACTGTATTGCCTTTTGCTGAAGTGGTACCACCTTCTCATTTAACCGCTTCCCCTTTAGGTTTTCCAATACTTTCTTTTTGTGAAGTTCCTATGCACATAAAATACTAACATCAATAAAACTAGTAAGATTGAGAAGCGCCAAGGCTTTGGTAATGACCAGCTCCCCTCTGCTGCCTGAGCGGCGCCAGCACCTTCCTCGGGAGCTCCCAGCAGCCGCCTGGCTCCTGCTCCACGGCAATCATGTGCAACCGGAAGGTGGTGATCAAAAATGCAGACATGTCAGAAGAGATGCAGCAAGACTCGGTGGAGTGCGCTACTCAGGCGTTGGAGAAGTACAACATAGAAAAGGATAGTGCGGCCCATATCAAGACGGAGTTTGACGAGAAGTACAACCCCACCTGGCACTGCACTGTGGGGCGGAACTTCGGTAGTTACAGGACACATGAAACCAAACACTTCATCTACTTCTACCTGGGTCAGGTGGCCATTCCTCTGTTCAAATCTGGTTAAAAGCATGGACTGTGTCAAACACCCAGTGATCCATCCAAAAACAAGGACTGCATCCTAAATTCCAAATACCAGAGCCTGACTCTTCAGCCTTGCTATGGGAACACCTCGTTTGAATCTGTTTTGTGCAGGGCATCATGCTCTGTACGAGTTTGTGGTTATAAATAATTAGTAAAACAGCTTACATTTGTATTTATTTTCTAGTCCATACTTCTGTACCCCATTTTTTCTCCCTTAGGCCATTCCTTTAAAGTAAATCTGTTGGAGATGTGAAAAAAAAACTTGTAAGCTTTTCTTCTGCTAACCTTTGTCATTTAGCTTATAGGCCCCAGCTGCTAGATTTCAATGGGTAGGGAGGAAAAGTTATCCCTCCTTTACTATTTCCAAAGGACCATATATTTTATTTATTTACCTTTTTAGGAAACAATGCATTAAAATAAAGACAATTATTCAAATAATGAAATAAAGAGTAGTTATACCAGAAAATGAAAACTATTATTATGGACCAAGCTTACTGTGAGCAGAGTAAACACTTAGAAAACTATACCAACATTTTCCAATTTTTATAGCTGTATTATAGTTATGAAAGAGGATGTCTTTGTTTTTAGAAAACACAATGAAGTATTATGGTAATGACATATAGTATCTGGAATTCTCCTTAAATAGTCAAGTACGAATGTACTCAAAAATTCTGTATGCAGCTATGTCTCTGTATATACACAAAGGGACCTAAGAGCAAGTATGACAAAGCGAATATACAAAAAAATTTAGCATTTATAGGTTTTCTATAAATCTATAATAATCTCCAAATAAAACAAATTAAAAATTATTTTTAGGTGACAGAGAAGCTGAAGGATATATTTCTAACAAATTTTCCATAAGTAAAAATGGTTTTTACATGTGTGCATGTACATGCACATACAGACACACCCATATTTATAGTTGAAGTAGTAGGCTAATGAGATTGCTCAGCAGGTAAAGGTGCCATCTGCCAAGCCTGATGACCTGATTTTGATCCCTGGAACACACATGGTGGAGAAGAAAACAGACTCCCCAAAACTGTTCTCTGGTTTCTACACTGTACAATGGCATGCATGTGCCCATAGATATAAATGCACAAATAATTAATGCACAAACATTTAAAATCGAAATAGTGATCTAATGTTCTTTATTTATCTGTGCTTTCGGAACACAGATGGAGGTACAAACAGCAAACTGAAAATAATACTGAGTGTTTGAGTATGTAAACGAGTCTATACTAGTTAAGCAAATTGGAAATTAAGAACAGTAAGCTAATTATTATTGACTTTATTCTGGAGTTATATATAGAGTGATGCACAGGGATATACTCATACTGAGTCACATTAGAACCTGAGGAGAAAGGGAAGAAAAGTCAAGACAGTGGATCTTGCTTTTATTTAAAATTCTGAGTTTTGGCCACAGATACCCCCCCCACCTCATTGATTTGAGTTTTAAAAATATCGTGATGAAAATAGTCTATCTTGATCATGTTTTTGACACCACCTTAAATTTTATATCAGTGCAGTGTCTTACTCATATAACAGTAGTCCTTCATATAACAACTAACTGGGACTAATATGTAAGGTGGTTTATACAAGCTATCTTATTCAATTCTCTTAGTGGTCTAAACAGACAGACATTTTGAGGATGTACTCTGGATCTCACAGCAAACACTAAAAACTGTATCTCAGGGTGGTCTAGTTCTGAGAACTGATCATAGTGTCTCCTGAAGGAGTCACACTGGAAGCAACTGCAATGTACACAGGGCAGTGCTTATCATTTGATTTTCTCTCTGAGAAGGAGATCTGAGCTTTCTGTAACAATCAGCAGGAGTGCTGGTTTCAAACACAGCCCAGGCTACATTCTTCATGTGAAGGCAGACAATCCTCAAATCCAAAGTCTGAATTGACATGCTCTTTTTATGGCACAAACAGAACTTTTATTGTGAACTTTACTGAGAAGAGGTGTACAGTGCTGTGATAAAGAGAGAGATGGAAAGGGATTTATACACTACAGCTAAGGCACTTACCAAAAGGTAGACCATGGTTTGTTGTCAAGCCATATGCCCCGAGAATTCTGACTTATCTCTCGGTTAGAAAGGGAAATATTTTAGTTTTACTTAGGGCTTTCTTCACTATGCTCCATCAGAGGAATTACACAACAAAGTCAGGGTTTTCATAAGAGAGTGAACTTCACTTTGGTAAATGGTTTTGATGGATGAAAATGTATGACCTAAATTTTGGTGATACAAAAAGTTGACTAAATGATAGGTGAATGATTTTCACTTAGCACTCACAAAAAAGTTAACTAAGAATTAACCATGAACATCATTTTGGAAAAACATGGTATTTGAAGTTGGTAATTATTTTACTTCTTAGCATATAGGTCCAATTGAGATACTAAATATTCATCAGCAGTAATTAATTTTTAATGGGAAAAAGAACAAATAACATTTACTATATGCCTAAAGGCATGAGAGTTAGACTCCAGCAATAATATTATCTTTCAGGCAGCTTAAGTTTCCATATCTAAATATCAGTTATATTTCTATTGCTGCATTAGTTGGAAAATACTTTGTATCTTTATAAAACACTGGCATTTAGATTTTTCTTTCAACCTTTTTCGACTTGTAAAATATTATGGCAGCTAGAGATGTACCAAAAACCTATGGATGTCTTTTTCATTCTATAAGCCACTGTCAAATGTCTGTTCTTGAGGGAACACAAAGGGAAGACTGGACTCCTGTGTATCCGTGTATTCCTGAGGTTACCAGAAGCAACCGACTCCTTTAAAAGTAAGATCTGAGTCAGCAGGCTCCAGTGATGCCTGGTCATGTTTACTAAGGCATTATCCTCAGTAATAGAGATGTGGACTCATAGAGTAACAGAGGAACCATCCACAGAAAATGTGGTGTACCCACCATTAAATTTTATTCAGTCATGGAGAATGAGATGATCTCATTGGCAGGAAAATAGATGGAACTGGGGATCACACTCTAGGTGAAATAAGCCAGACCCACACAATTACAATATCTTTTTCATGTTTGGATCCTATATAGCGCGCGCGCACGCACACACACACACACACACTGAACGTAGAAGGAAGTCTATTTGGGAAGAGGAGGAAAACTAGCAGGGAGGAGGTCAGGAGAAGGAAATGGTGAATGTGGTCAAAATACATGATATATTTGATTATCACTGTCTTTATTAAGCCCATTTCCCAACTCTACCTCTTTTTCAAGACAGGGTCTCACTATGTAGCTCTGGCTACCCTAGAATCTAAGAGTCCACTTTGTCTCCATCTCTTGAGTGCTGGGCACATGCCACCATGCCTGGTCTTTCACTACTATTGCTTTTTACTAAAAATCGCTTTAAAAGGCTCCAGCCATATAAAGTGTCCAGTACCTTAGAGCCGTTGCTGCTAGGAAGTCCAGCACTGCTAAGGTGGACAGCTCCCTGACTGGTTCTTCAGGGATAGAGAGGCTTCAGGTGCTGACCATCTTATTTATACTGGATGGTTAACTAGGAACTTTACCACCGATCCTAACAGCTCCTGCTCATGACCATGTGTCATCTCAAAGGTCTCTTTGCCATGGCCTAGTGGAGTGATGGAAAACAGGGCAGTAGCACTCATCTTGTGCTAGGCATTTGACTAATTAAGGACAGGCATTTTAAGAGGGCTTACTTAAGTTTTGGCTTGATTATAAATGTGCTGTTTTTTTCTCTTATTAATCATAAAAAGTAGTAAATGAACGTAGGATAAGTGTGGACATACATTAATACACTTCCATTCTTAAATGTTTGGTTTGGGATCAGGTTTCAGTCCTATGAACCAATCTTCTGCAGAGATGTTCAAATGATAGTCACAGTTTTTGCTAGCAGCTTGGCTATGGCATAGGCAATGGAGGATTGTGCCAGAAGGTTGTTTGTTAAGACACCAGAGTTCTTGAACATAGTTTGGTATTTCAACATAGCACCATTAACCACTATGACAATGAAGCTGGATGAATATACTTCTTGAGAGAGCATTTCAGATTCCGAGGAAAAACAATAACCTGGAAAAGATCTCTTATTTAAGTATGCTTCATCCTTATTACTTCCTTTCTTAGATTGTAACTGATGTTAAGGGGGGTGGGGAATGGCAGGTGAAGGAACTCATTATGGACAAGAACCTTTCAACAATGCAAGTTTATACAAACAAGTTGAACATAAAAAGGTCAAATAAGAGGACCAATACTAGTCACCAGTAAATTACAACAACAACAACAACAACAACAATAACAACAAGATACTGCTCAGGGACCACAGCTTGGCTGTCTGGGCATGTGGTTTATCACACAGCAGAAGACAATCAGTGCATCATGTACTTCATGCTAGACCACTGTGCTGATACAAAGAAATTCTACTGTACTTGAAAGATATAAAGGGAAATACTGAACTTGCTCAGTGATGTCTAAGTGTTATATCTGCACACAGACGTTACCTATCTTTATTAATGAAAATCCTGGGCTAAGGAAGTAGTTCAGCTGATAGAGTGCTCATATAGCATGCATGAGGCCCCTGAGTTTGATCTGTAATCCTGCATAAAACACATATGGTGGTTTATGCTTGTATTCTCAGCTCTCTCTGTGTGTATACCTGTATTCTCAGGCATGTGTATGTGTGTGGGGGGGGTGGGGATAGGTAGAGGTAGCATGATCAGAAGTTCAAAGTCATCTTCTTTTTTCATTGTAAGTTGGAGGGCATCCTGGACTACATTAGACTCTGTCTCAAAACAAAAACAAAATACAAAGTAAAACAAAACAAAAAATAGAGCAAATTCTACTTATACTTTTGAAATATAACCTTATACTTTTGAAAAATCCTACTGTCTATTTCTTTCCAAAGAAATGTTTTGTAACATATTTTTGAAATTTGAGGTTTCCTAGTCATATATTAAGAACATAAAATAATGCCAACAAGAATGATTGATTTTTCTATTACTGTTGCCATCTACCACTTTGCACATAAACTTATACTTCATTAGCCATTTGTAATTCCATTTTTAATCTTTGCATTTCTTTTATCTGTTTTTCTTAGTTTTCAATTTCCTTTTTATTTGTGTAGAGTCTTTACAAAGGAAGATAGTATTCTTGTAAGTCACATTTTAATTATTTTCCCAGTAAATATGTTGGTATTATTTATGTAATGCTTCCTTACAGAAATCATTACATT